TGAAAGAGTGGTCACTAGTGTTTTACGGCACTTATGATCCACAAACACGTCAGTATGGTATTGAAAAGTAAGTTTTTAACATATACTTTGTACTACAGTAGTAAAAGTTTTAGTTTATAAATTATAATATCGCAAACACTCATTGCATATAATAGGGACTACCAATTGGTATTTCATATGAAAATTATTTAATTCATAAAATTAATGTTTAAATATAATGTTACAGTTTTTATAAACAAATAATTTTAAGCAAAAATCAATTACTTAACCTTTCTATAATTCTAATTTGAGAACATTTACTTTATTACAAATAATTTTTAAAATATTTATATAGTTACAAGAAGATTTTGAATTATGCTAAAATAATTAAAACAACTGTTAATCAATTTAAATTATTTATTTTATAAAATTATTTCTTTAGTTTAATTTTAGTTTTTAAATAAAAAATTTAAACATCATTTACGCTGTAGGTATGCTGAACATTTAGGCTTATGGTTTAATGATTTTAATTTCTTATTAAAGCTTTATAAGTAGCATGATAAATTATTTGAATATTGTTTTAACAATTTATTGATTATGTGAATAGAAATCAAAATGAGCCAAAAGTGAGTGAATGCGCTATAAATGGGTTGCTTCAGGCGTTCAACACTACCCAATGCCATGATGTCTGTCCCAGTGGTCAGTGGCCTAACCCACAGCTCGGTATATGTCAGAAGTGCCATCCCTTATGCCTATCATGTTTTGGACCCATGAGTGACAACTGTCTGTCCTGTGAGATAAACAAACTTTTCTACGGCTATACCTGTGTTAGCGAGTGTCCCGACACTTACTACAGGGACGGTGTGCTAAATGAATGCCTTCCCTGTGCGGCCAACTGTCTCACATGTCTGTCCACTCCAACCCACTGTACATCATGTCAATCACAACTTGTCCTAAACGACAGACACATATGTATTGATAAAAACCTAAATTATAGGAATGGATGTAACAAATCGTGTGCTACCTGTGCCACCAGTGGTAATGAAAATCAATGCGATACTTGTCATAAGGATGATAAGCTATGGAACGGTACGTGCATTAGTGGTCAGTGTCCGGACGTACACTTTGAACGTATTACTAATACGGGAATAGTATGTGACAGGTATTTATCAATTGATTTATAGGTTTTGTAAAACTATTTATAAAAACTTTGTTTCAAATAATTTAGTTGTCATAAGAGTTGCAATGCATGTGTGGGTCCGTTACATACGGATTGTACGCACTGTTACCCAAACTCGACCCTAACCTCCGATGGCTTGTGTGTCAGTATCTGTACGTACGGCCAGTATTACGACAACAAAGTGGACGCCTGTATGTCGTGTCACGAGACCTGTTCCCAGTGTTGGGGTCCAGGAGTTGATGAGTGCCACGAATGCAAGAGTGGGTTTCATATTGAAAACTACCGGTGCTTGAGATGCTGTCCCACAAGTATTTTGAATATTAAAGGACTTCCAGAGGAATATGACAATTGCTGTCATTGTTTATCACCAGAAGGTCCGTGCGATGGATCACTACTTGATAGACAACCCATTGAATATATACAGATCACTAACAGCATCGGTATGTCTGTAGTTGACAAGTATTTTGGAAATGATACAGTTAAAAATGTTTTTAATATTTTTATTTTATATTTTGCAATATTTATAATATTTGTTATAATATTCATGACATATAAGTGGATATTAAGAGATGAAAGAAACCCAAAAAATAT